GAATTTCCAGCTGTCATTCAGAAGCTGTGTGACCTAGGACAAGTTACTTGGTCTCTCTCTTCCTCAGTTTCCTCATCTGTAAAATGAGAGAGCCAATAATAGCACCTACCACAAAAGATCATTATGGGGGAATCATAAATTCATTATGTAAAGTGCTTACAGTGGTGCCCTGAGTTTAAAAAAAAATGCATATGGCGCTTCCACTACATTCAGGGACTGTTCTAAGACTAAAGACAAGGCAATGAACAAAAAAATTACTGCAGGCATTTTAAAATGGAGCTTACATTTTCACAGAAATCTTACAGTATTTCAGAGCAATTTAAAAAACCTTATTTGTGTTTTTCTCTTTGTTTAGATAAAAGAGAAATAAGATTTTTCATACACATTTCCTCTTGATGTGCTGTAGCTTCATAGCACTCAAATCCAGAATTCTAAGTGTTTTTTTTCCATCCTCATGCCACACCTGACAGTCTTCCTGCATAAATAATTTGAGCTGTGAGTACTCACTCTTAACTTGGCATAGATATTTATAAAATGGAAAAAGGCCAGATTCCAGGAAAACAATTTATTCTGTTCCATCCCTAAATTTTTGCTCATTCATCTGTTATGCTTAAAAATCAATTAGCACTGTGCATACACTGTATCGATGGCTTTATTTAGGATTAACTACAGAGCTGGGTGAATTTAACTGCAATTTTCCTACCAATGGTGCTTGGATTTCAGATGCTAATGAAGGCCTCCTTTCTCTATGACATATTTTTAAAGTTCTGTGATTTTATTTTATCTTTTCGTCCTCTGCTTCCTGCTTCCCACCTGCCCTTTTTCCCTCAGTGCCAGTAGGATATCATATGCAGGTTGATTCTTTTAGGCTTTCTCCCTTTAGAGTACTAAGTAAATACAAAATATAATAGGTATTATACTGTAGTATATTTATACCCTTTCTATTTTCTGTTCAGGAAAAATGTCTCAGTTGTGTGCATAGAAACTAGGTGGAGCCTGCTTACCTGTATAAGGAGATGTGTGTATGTGTGTGTATGTGTAGGAGTATATGGCAGTATCGACAAAATCTCATCTGAAGACACAGAATCAGAGTCACAGGGTTAGAATGGACTTTGGCCAACTGTTCTAGCTCTACACAGTGCACAAATTTTGAAATATTCTTGCCAGTGGTCTTCTAATCTCTGAATAAAACATCAAATGAAGGACACATACTATTTCATGATTCAGTCTTTCCATATTTATAGAGCTCTAAGTGTCTAAAAGCTCTGTTCTAATAAGCTGAAATCTGCCTTCCTTGTGACTTACCCACTGGTCTTGGCTCTGCCATCTGGTGCCTCACACAGTGGAGTAAGACTGAAGACAGCCATCACTCCCTTAATGTTTTCTTCTTTATCCTAAACAGCTCAAGTCCTTCTTTAACATGTTCATCGTATGCAGGACTGCCCATTTCTGAACTAGCTTACTGTTCTTCATAAGGAAGGAACCAGGATTGGGTAGCACAATGAGCTATGAGCTGAACAGCATGTTCAAGAGCTGGACTAATATCCCATATCTGTGCACAATATTTGTAGTCATGGCCCCTACAATCACATTAACATGTTTTTGTTTTCCCCAACTTGCCTCATATTTTTCTTAAAATCAATGGCAATCCCCCAGGCATTTTGTCTTTTTTCCATGTTATGATGTTTAGCCATTTCTCCTTAATTCTGCAAAGAGGTAGCTAGTTTTCTGGGTGTAAGAGCAGGACTTCATGTAGATTCTTAATCAATTAGGCCTACTGTGCCATGCTATTGAGATTTTTTTTAATATCTGGATTCTATCACTTAAAGTATTTACTGGCTCCACCTCAGCTGTTGCCTTTATAAAAAATCCTTTAGTCTTTTCTCAAAATTCTTGATGAAATACTTGGGCATAAAAGGGTGAATAGGAGATCATTAAGTAGCTATCAATTCTATCTGTAACATTTTCACTTCCTGTTAATGTTAAATTTATATTGAGAATTCAGCTCTAAGTTTTTCTGAGAGTTGACTTTAGCAGCAGCCATACACAAAAGGCCTCTGATTTTCTATAAAAATGCATTAGATGATTCAATGTCTCATTAGTAAAAATCTCATAGGAAATTTTGTTAGGAGCTCAGGGATAGTAAAAAAAAATTCTCCTAATGAAAGCTGAGCTGGTATGAGTTTCCTTCTTTTTGACTTCTAAGATGCTTTATCTTTTCAGATGTTTAAAGATCTATGGAATAATTTCTTTACTTTCTAAGTAGGGCGTTAGGAAATTTCCCCTAGGGTCCTGAAGCGGTTAAGGTTTGCGTCAGCCCTACAAATCATGCTGTTCCAGAATGTGCTCTCAGTTTAGAATGGCATGTTCTGAAAATCTTCCATATTAATTTCCCCAAATGGTTCTTATTTTAAGTGTAAACAGTAATAATTTGACCATTTGCTAATATTTTCTCTCTTTTTCTTCCTTGGCCCTTTCAATACAGAGTAAATTTTTTTCATTAAATATTTCTGTTTGACTGGAATTATTTATATTAAAAAGACTCCTAGATTGGTGTTATTAGCAAAAATATGGCAGAAGTGCATTCTCATTGGTGAAATTAGTGACTCATTATCAAGCATGCTAAATGGAACTTTGCCTTGAATTAACCACTCTTTGTGTGACTATGGGAAGCCCACTGGGCCGTGCAGTTTTGCATTGACAGAAGGAAAACTAGCTCTTGATGAACATATGATAAATATTAGACATTGTTAAAATGTATATAACTTACTTTTAAATATTTTAAAATAGATCATTTATAATATGTGGCTTGATTATATGGAAGTGCAATATCTTAAACTCCAAATTTAGAAGCTTTTTTAACCAATCCAAGGTGGTCAGAAAGCATTATATCAGAAAGGCAACACTTTAGAGGTTGGCTACTATAAAAGCATTTGTTTTACCTATTTCAATGAACAAATAATGTTTTGCTCATTAGAAAAAATATGGCAGAAGTGCATTCTCTCATTGGCAAAATTAGTGGCATAAACCTTCCTACGATTTCAACAAACTTATGGAAGAGGTTGCATGAATCTATTAGGCTTTTTTTGCTAATAAATGTTTGCTAAAATATGCCTCTAAGTTTAGCAGAAGTTGGTCTAAGGCTTACTTATAACATAATTAGCATTAGGATGATAATAGGAGGATTGCTAACGTTCTTCAACCTGCGTTAGTAACCACCCTTATCTATCAAAGATGTGTGTGACCAAATGATCACTGGACACTTCTCAACGGACATTTTGTCTTATTTTAATCTTCATCAGCACCCTTCAAGTCACTACTCCCCTTATCCATATTAGGAAATTCAAGTTTAGGGGACATTAATTTAATCATATAGATATTGGGTGGTAGAGTCTTATGTGTCTGATTTCATTCCTCCAATCCCCTCACCCACCACCACCACTTAAAGCCTCCCACCTGGTCATTGCCAGAAATGGATGAATAATTATTAAAAGCCTACAGATGTGTTCACTGCAATTGTATGGGTTAAATAAAGACTTTTTAGTTCACCTTGACTGATAGTTAGAAGTCAACTACCTATTAAAGTGATTTCATATGTATTTATTATTGCTTTATATAATTACAGTTACTATTAATATATTTTGGGTCCCATTTTGTACTTTTCATGTTTTAAAATCTATACTTTCTTTCTATCTACCCAATATATTCAGAGAAATTATAAATTCATACACTGAGGCACAGATTAATTACTTTGTGACATAATTACATGACCAAGCTCTCGAGTAGTCTACTAGAGTTTGACTCTAAAATTATCAGTTGAAACAAGCTTTGAAAAAGTCACAGTTATCTACAGGTCAATAAAAAGCTCATCTCAAAGCATTGTTACATAGAGAAAAGTAAATGAAATGGTAATTTTAGAATTCAAATGCTGAAATGACATAAAATATTCATGGGTTGATGATTTTGAAGCACATCAGAGACCAGCAGAGTTGAATGGTTTTGGGTTCTATAAAACTACTAGTCAGGCTAAAAATAAAAAAGAAATAAAACACAAGATAAAAGTACAGAAAAATTTCCTCCATAGTTACCAATAAAATATTGCATTTTTAAATGAATTTTATTTTAGGTAGTCTAAGCAGAAATCATCTGTCCACAAAAAAGCACACAAATCTATTTTATTTATTAAAATCTTAAATTCTTAAGAAAAAGATTTTAGATTAATAGAAAGGTAACCATCGACATGTTCCTATTTATACTTCTGAAATGTGTACTTTTAGGTTATTTGTTTTTGATGTAGGTAGCAGTTATGGGGATAAAATTATTCATTTTAGAATAAACTATTTCTTTGGCAACTCATTATTACATGTGGAAGTAATGGCATCCAAATAATATGAGGTTATGAAAAAAATGTATGTTCCTGCTTTTACTTTAAAATGTTACTTACTTTAGTTTACTCCAACTTCATGTGAAAATAAATAAATAAATATAGGAAATAATAGATAATATAATCAAACATTCGGAAGCTGACGTATTTTTATTATACTATCGCTGCACACTTGGCTTAAAGAATTACCTGTGCATTGCCATTTCCCATATATATTATTATGTATATGAAAATTATCCTTCCTCTTTAATTAAAATAAAATATATAAGGTGAAGAGTTTTATCTTTATTTTTTAAATGTATTTGTTTATAGTAAATTGAATAAAGAGTGCCTGGAAATTATTATGTTCTTCTAACCATTAATTCAATTAAAGTAAATATGGGAGAAATTCTACCAGTAGGGATGATCACATCTGGACAAGATGAAATGAGACATAAAAACTGTAAAATTACTGTTTTTGCTAGTTTAATATCCATCAATGCTTAGAAAGCTGATTGGACACAAAATTATGATTTGTTCCAGGGTATCAACACAACTTCAGTAACAGCAGGGGCAGGGGGTAAGGGGAGAGAGAATGTGCTTAAGGAGAAAACTTCTGGTTATGTTATGAACATACCACTCCATTCACTGATAGCAGCTGGTCTCCTCTTTTGAGGCCTCCGTGTCTTTCGGCCACCCCTCCAGGAATGATGCGAGAGATATAAATGGGAGAATTTTGCTCCTTTCCTCCCATCACGTTAAAACCAAGGCCTTCATCAGTCTTTGGCAGTTCGACTACCCGAGGGTGGGAGTGGCCTTCACTAGCAGCAAAAGCTGCAACTGTTGCCTGAAAGACAAGATGGTAATTTGGTAGTAGAAGGAGGGAAGGAAGGCTAATCCTATGCTCTGCAGTGGGGAGGTCAGGCAACTCCTCATATTTTCATGGCATTTTTCCTGTGAAGGAAAGAGCACAAAATGGAGGGGTGTTCTTCATTTAGATGTCATTTATGATTCCTTTCCCTTGGTAAAGCCAAGTTCAGCTATTTCCAGCTTTCTAGACAGTATCCATAATGATAATAATTTCCCTTCTACAGAAATATCTTTCCCAATTACCTCATATGGAATTCCTCCTATTCTTGCACTCAAAATAGGATTGGTCCATATGCTACCCACATATGGCACATATACTATAATTGTATGTATGCATGGTGACTATGGGCACCTGAAGGGCAGAGTTTGTGGCTTACACTTCTTTGTATGACACACAGTCTAAGCTGGTGCTTGCACACAAATCTTCATAAATGTTTATTCAATACACTGAGGAGCACTTATATGTATAAAGCTGGTAAATATATCTACAATTTTGCCTTAGCACATTTGGTGTTTTTGTGTTTTTTGGGGGGATATCTAAAAAAAATAAAAGCTATAATGAAATAATAGATTCAAACAGATTATTATTTCACATCAATATGTCATACTAGAGGCTCGGTGCACGAAATTTGTGCACTCGGTGGGGGGGTCCCCTCAGCACAGCCTATGCCCTCTCGCAGTCCAGGAGCCCTCAGGGGATGTCCGACTGAAGGCTTAGACCCACAGGGAGTGGGCCTAAGCCATCAGTCAGACATCCTTAGCACTGCCACAGAGGTGAAAGAGGCTCTCGCCACCACCGCTGCGATCACCAGCCTTGAGCCTGGCGTCTCACTGAGTGGCGCTCTCCCTGTAGGAGTCCACTGACCACCAGGGGGCAGCTCTTGCATTGAGCGTCTGCCCCCTGGTGGTCAGTGCACGTCATAGTGACTGGTCGGTCTGCCATTCAGTCAATTTGCATGTTAGCCTTTTATTATATAGGATTATTTTTAGAGGTCCTCTTCTCTGGCACAGAGGTCTTCTTTCCCCCCTGACATTTTACATTAATATTTCAACTACTGTAGCAATGTAGGCACAATGAAAATTCTATGGCAGTGGTCGGCAAACTGCGGCCCCTTGAGTGTGGCTCTTCCACAAAATACCACGTGCGGGCGTGCACGTACAGTGCGATTGAAACTTCGTGGCCACACTCAAGCAGCCAAAGAGCCGCATGTGGCTCGTGAGCTGCAGTTTGCTGACCACTGGTCTATGGTTTTATACCTAGCTGTAAAAATATCATATAATATGGATATTATTGTATTTTAAAATTTATTACTATTAATTTTTAAAAATAAGTTGAAGGAAACAACTTACCATTAGTCCTGACACCTCATGGAAATAAAATTAAAGCAATGATGTAGTTTCTATCAAGAAAATATTCTCTGCCTGCTTATTTTCCACCTCCATTAACCTTTCTTAAACACAGTTGATTCGATGCCTACTATAAAGTGATTCACTCAACACTATAAAAATATTGATTTGCAACTACTGTACATTCTTTTCCACACACAGCATTATCACATCAATTCAGCATTATGCTACTGTCTGCATTTAGTGAAAGATAGTGAATGATATGGAAATAATGGCTTGTTTTCAGCTCCATGCATTTGCTCATGCAAACCTTGTCGTCATGCATAGATTTAATGGCTGACATGGATGCAATGCAGACAGCCCAGAAACAACCAGAAAATATTGTGCTATTGCAACATTATGCTGCTATCCTGCTGTTCTACATGAATAAGAAATGAGAATGGTAAAACGCTACATAATTCACTTTCCTCTTAATTAAACCATGGAGGGATCATTTTTTCTGTGTGTGTTCCACTTCAGTACAAGCAAAGCATGATGTAATGATAATAGTATCCTCTTTTGGTTTGGGTCAAAAAACAAACAAACACACTGACAAATCTATAGTGTTCAGTTATAGGAGGAAAATCAAACAAGAGATGATGTAACACAAAAAAAATTTAAATGAAAAATTCTAATTGTTTTCACCAGTTCTTACTTCTTATACACTATTAAAAACAGAAAAGCTTTTAAAAAGCAAGTGTATATGTATTATAATATTTCTGTATTTGTAAAATAAGAACTGCATTAGCAATTTTAGTTTTTAACTCTCATTTCCTAATGGTCTATTTTCCAGATAATTTCCTGATTCTATTGCTGGAACATTTCCATTAGTAGGGCCTCTGTAATATCTGGATTTAAGTTTTTACAGAGCAAATGTGGTCACTACCACAAAAGGTGACAGGTCTTCCCTTTAGGTCAGCATCACATTCTTTCAGCTACCCACTGCCCAGCTGAATACATGGACGATCATCGTTGGGTATCAGGTGAGTTCTCTCAATTATTAACTTAAGTCAGATCTTTAGACATGTTCAAATAAATCTTCTTGCACTGAATAGGGAACAGGTTTTTTTGGATCAGAGGAATGTGTTAGAAAACCAAGTAGTATTTCATACAATGAGTGAGTAGATTTGCTTGTGCCAAATGGACATTTAGTGAGTTTAATGAAATCATTCTCCTTTCTTAAGCTACAGAAGCAGCAGAAACGTTCAATTTTCCATTAGGATTTTTACCTGGGAAGTAGTACTGGTTCTAGACTCTGGGCTGCCACTGATGTCTAAATTCTCTTACAGTGTACACACGAGAATACCTGAAACACACACGCGCACAATCAATTACTAGATCACTGGGGTTAAGTATATTTTTAAAGTTACTCAAGCCTTACCTTTGCTGTGGCCCTGGCACGGAATTCGGGACAGCCATTAACAGTTATCGTTTCATGCATATATTGATACACCTAAAATGTTCACATAAAAAAAGAATGTGTAAGAACATTAAGAATATTAACTCTTTCATTGCAGACAATATGATACATTTTCATTGCAATACAAAAATTCCCTATCACAAAGTGAAATAGATCTGAATCAATTATCCTGATGCCTTGGGCCAAAAATCCTTCCTATTTTTTTGGGGGGGGGGGGAGGGCAGGGGCTAAGGGGTAAAGGATGGAGTTTGGGGCAGACAAGGCAATCACTTTTATTCATAGGTTTTAAATTTGGCTGTCCATGTTTATCAAATATAGAAACGCATAATTATTTTTCTTCTATATATTATAAAAATTACTTTGTTGGTAAAGATATTTTACCATTATATATAGCTCTATCTGTAAAATATGTGATAAAAATTACTTCTTGAATCTATGTAACACTTTCAAAATAGTTTTCCAAATCAATATTCCACAAAACCAGGATAACTATCTTTTCTTTGCATGTTGGTAGGTATGTTACTGTTCTTGACACACTCAGAATTCATAGACAAAAAGTATTCAGAACAAAGACAAGTAAAGTAAGAGGTCCTTAAAACTAGTAACACAGAGCAACATACCAACTATGGGCTCAAGTTACCATTCATTTTTAGATGAAATAGTAAGAATGGGGGTAGAATCTGGACGCAGAATGATGTTGAAGAAAGCATAAAGGTTATGCTGACTAATAGATCTACGTTTAAGCCTTACATTAATATAATTGGGGTAATTATTATTATTATTTAATTTTTTCTACATTATTTGGCCCTGATCTTTTGGGAAGAAATCTCCTAGGACATGAAGTTCATCCACACTTCGTAAGAAGAATTGATTGGCTGGCTGGTGTGGCTCAGTGGTTGAGCATCGACCCATGAACCAAGAGGTCACTGGTTCGATTCCTGGTCAGGTCACATGCCTGGGTTGCAGGCTCAATCCCCAGTAGGGGGCATGCAGGAGGCAGAAGATTAACAGTTCTCTCTCATCAGTGATGTTTCTCTCTCTCCCTTCTCTGAAATGAAAATATATTAAAGAAATAAAATAAATAAATAAAAGTTGCTGTAGTTGCTGTGTGAGGAAGACACTAGGTAGGCCCTCCTAACCCAACCAGCTCTGCTGAGCATTGCCTGGTTCTATGACCCAGTTCTGTACAATGAGAATTCAATTGAAAGTAGCGGAGAGACTTCTGGGAAAGTTTTCCTCTCTTGGTACAAGTTCTGTTCTTTTCCCTTCTCTACTTCTTATCCTACGTGTAAATATAATGAATCCTGGCAAGCAGCTGCCTTTCTCTCAACTTGCAACAACAACAAAAATAGTCCTATATGTTTAAGCCACTAAACTTTGACTTTTTGCTACTTTCAGCCAAGAGAATTCCTGATTGTTATAGTATTTAAATAAATCGTATATAGAAGCATGCTATCTTTAAAGTTGGTTATCTTCTATCCCCATAAGTTTTCAAAAGTTATATTATAATTTGCTCATTAGGAATTGGTGCGAATTGTTAACCTGAGAGCTTAGAAACTGAAAAAGGATAGACTAAAATTGTAGTTTAATAAAAGGGTGGTAGAGACTAACTCTTTGAAAAACACTGTTAAGAAAATAAAAACACGAATTGACTGGGAGAAAATAATTGCAAAACACATAGCTGATAAAGGTCTCATATCCAGAACACATAAAGAACTCTCCAAAGTCAATAATAAGAAAACAACCTGATTAAAAATTGGGTAATGTGTTTGAACAGGCATGTCATCAAGGAAGATATATGGGTGGCTAATATGAAAAGATACTCAACATAGTCACTAGGGAAAAATTGAAATTAAAACCATAATTAGGTACATCTACACACTTATTAGAATGTCTAGTTTTTTAAAAAATACTGACAATACTTAAGTACAAGAATGTTGAACAACTAGAACTCTCAAATATTGCTGGTTGAATGGAAAATGGCACAGCTACTTGAAAAAACAAGATAACAGTTTTCTACAAAGTTAAATCTGCACTTACTATGATTCAGTTATCTACTTCTAGTTACTTATCCAGGATAAATATAAATGTATGTTCATTAGCCATGGTCATGTCATTAGGGTGTCAAGGGCATGTACCCGGGTTGTAGGTTCCAACCTTGGCCCTGGTTGGGGTACGTGCAGGAGGCAACCAATTGATGGGTCTCTCTCACATCATGTTTTTTCTCTCTCTCCTCTGTCCCTATTCCCCTCCTTCCTTCTTTTCCACACTCTCTGAATAGCAATGGAAAAAAAATATCCTCGGGCAGTAATTAACAAAAAAATAAAAGTGTATGTTCATTAAAAAATGAGATGTAAACATTTGTAATAGCTTTATTTATCATTGCCACAAACTGGAAACAACTCAGATAGCTTTCAACTGTGAATGAATAATCAAATGCAAGTATATCAATTAAATCAATGGAATAATAAAGCTAGGCAATAAGAAGGAACAGACTATCATATATACAGAGGTAGGGATAAATCTCAAATGTATGTTGCTAAGTGAAAAAAAACAACACATACTCTATGATGACTTTACTTTTACAATACTCTGGAAAAAAGCAAATAATAGGGAAACAAAACAGATCTAAATTTGCCAGAAGCCAGGAGTGGAGATGAGTTGACTACCAGGAATGGGGGAATTTGGAGGGGGGCATTGGAACTGTTCTATATCATGACTAGAGACCCAGTGCACAAATTCGTGCACCAGTGGGGTCCCTTGGCCTGGCTTGCGAGATCAGGCCAAAACCGGCTCTCCAACATCCCCTGAGGGGTCCTGGATTGCTAGAGGGTGCAGGCCAGGCCGAGGGACCCCACCGGTGCATGATCAGAGCTGGGGAAGGACACGGCAGGTTGGCCAGCCGGGGAGGAACCGCAGGAAGTCTCCAGGGTGTGTTCGGCCCATCTTGCTCAGTGCTGATCTGCCGGACCCCAGCAGCAAGCTAACCTACCGATCGGAGCATCTGCCCCCTGGTGGTCAGTGCACATCATAGCAACTGGTCAACCAGTTGACTGTCTGCCCCCTGGTGGTCAGCGCACGTCATAGCGAGCGGTTGAGTGGCCTTAGCATATCATTAGCATATTAAGCTTTGATTGGTTGAATGGACGACCAGACACAGCATATTAGGCTTTGATTATATAGGATAATGGTGTATGGGCAAATAATTTTTGATAAAGGAGCCAAAAACATAAAATGAAGAAAAGAAAGCCACTTCACTAAATGGTGCTGGGAAAATTGGAATGGAAATAGACTGTTGCTTGTCCCCATGTACAAAAATTAATTCAAAATAGATCAAATGCTGAGATATAAGACCTGAAACAGTAAATTGCATGAAAGAAAACATAGATAATAAACTTATGGATCTTGTGGAGAACATTTTATGAATTTAACCCCAAAAGGCAAGGGAAGTGAAGGCAAAAATAAATGAGTGGAATTATATCAAACTAAACGGCTTTTGCACAGCAAAAGAAAACAACAACACAAAAAGTCAACCAACTAAATGGGAGATGATATTTGCAAACAACAGCTCCAACAAGGGGTTAATATCCAAAATATACGAAGAACTCATACAACTCCACAGCAAACAAACAATGCAATAAAAATGGGCAGAGGACCTAAACAAACACTTTTCTCAAGAAGATATATGAAAAGATACTCAAATTCTCTAACTACTAGAGAAATGCATATCAAAACTACAATGAGATATCACCTCACACCTGTTAGAATGCCTATTATCAACAAGACAAGTAATAACAAGTGTTGGAGAGGTTGTGGAGAAAAAGGACCCCTCATTCACTGCTGATAGGAATGTAAACTGGAAATCCACTATAGAAAACAGTATGAATGTTTCTCAAAAAATTAAGAATAGAGTTTCATATGACCCAGCAACCCCTCTTCTGGATATATATAACCCCCAGATATGAAAACATTTATTTGTAAAGACTTACCAACCCCTATGTTCATGGCAGCATTATTCATGGTGGTTAAGACATGAAAAACAATGGGTGTCCTTTGATACATTTTTAAAAATTTAAATTATTTATTGTTCAAAGTATTACATATGTCTCCCTTTTCCCCCATTGACCTCTCCCCGGCTGTTCCCACCCCCCAGCACATGCCCTCACTCCCCTACTGTCTGTGTCCATGGGTTATTCTTACATGCATGCATACAAGTCCTTTGGTTGATCTCCTACCCCCTTACCCCCGTCCCTTCCCTCTGAAGTTAGAAGGTCTGTTCGATGCTTCTATGTCTCTGGATCTATTTTTGTTTATGTTGTTCATTATAGTCCACAAATGAGTGAGATCATGTGATATTTATCTTTCTCCGACTGGCTTATTTCACTTAGCATAATGCTCTCCAGGTCCATCCATGCTGTTGCAAATGGTAAGAGTTCCTTCTTTTTTACAGCAGCATAGTATTCCATTATGTAGATGTACCACAGTTTTCTAATCCACTCATCAGCTGATGGGCACTTAGGCTGTTTCCAAATCTTAGCTATTGTAAAATTGTGCTGCTATGAATATGGGGGTGCATATATCCTTTTTGATTTCTTTGGATATATTCCTAGAAGTGGGATTACTGGGTCAACTGGGAGTTCCATTTTTAATTTTTTGAGGAAATTCTATACTGTTTTCCACAGTGGCTGCACCAGTCTGCATTCCCACCAGCAGTGCACGGGGGTTTCTTTTTCTCCACATCCTTGCCAGCACTTGTGATTTGTTGATTTGTTGACGATAGCCATTCTGACAGGTATGAGATGGTACCTCATTGTCATTTTGATTTACGGCTCTCAGATTATTAGTGACTTTGAGCATGTTTTCATATGTCTCTTGGCCTTCTGTATGTCCTCTTTTAAAAAGTTGTCTATTTAGGTTCTTTGCCCATTTTTTGATTGGTTTGTTTATCTTCCTTTTGTTAAGTTGTATGAGTTCCCTGTAAATATTGGAGATTAAACCCTTATCGGAGATAACGTTGGCAAATATGTTCTCCC